AAAGCCATCTGCTTTAAAAACAGTAACAACAAAATCTTGTTTAAATTTAAGCAAAATGCATAGTGGAAATTGAAATTTGAATATTTCACAAAAGAAATATGGCTTGATTATTTTTTAATGAAATTTAAGTGGCCAGTCTTAAGAAAGTTAATTTTAAGCACAACTTTCAAGACATATTTTATCAAATGTGGAGTTAATAAACACTCATCTCCCCCACCCCCCAAAAAAGTGAATCTTTTTGAATGTGTGACTACTGTTTTAACCATCTTACAAAGAGATGAAAACAGATTTTTGTCAGTTGTTCTGTGGCCTGAATCTGTATCAGTAGGGCATAGTGTATTGCTTTTATATACTGTGATAGTCAGTTTTTTATTAGGAATAAACAAAGTTTGGTAGTCAAAATAAGTATAGCTTCATTTATCTCCCTCTCTTTTAACTTCCAATATTTTAAATCTGATTTTTCCAGTTTTATTGAGAAATAATTGACAGATACATCACTGTATAAGTTTAAGGTGTTCATCATGATGGTTTGATTTATGTGCATATGTAATATGCATATGTGTGTGTGTGTATACACACACACACACAGAGTGAAAGGATTACTACAATAGGTTTGGTTAACATCTATCATCTCATAGATAAAATAAAAAGAAAAAAATTTCTCCTAATGATAAGAAGTCTTAGGATTTGCTTTCTTAAAGTTTCCTATATATCATACAGCAGTGTTAACTCTGGTCATCATGTACAACATTCCCTAGCACTTATTTATCTAATAACTAGTAATTCTGATTTTTAGATAGAATTTCTATGTTATCAAGTCATTTTTTTCAGGTTTAGCTTAATTTTAACAATTCTTATAGTATTTTAATGCTATAAAATTTTATTAATTTCTTTTACAAAATTTACCTGTGGTCTGAAGCATTAAAGAGAATAAAGGAAACATTTAGGGGAGATTAGAGAAGGGATTTAACGCTATCAAGAAGGGGTCATAGGAAAGGAAGAAATTGATATTTCAGAAAATTAAAGTTTAAAGCATCATCTTTCAAGACAAAAAAGATAAAGTATGAAAACTTAAAAGTTATTTAAATGTTAATATTTCAGTCTAGAAATACTTATAGCCACAAGAGGGCATTACTGTGTAACTCAACCTTTGAGTGCCAAGAATCATAGATGAACTATAAGAGGCCTCACATGGTTTGGTTGTCTCAGAAGCACATTCCTCCCATTTGTGCTCTTCCAACACTCCCTACATTTACTTTCTTTAGCTGTCCACCTTTTCTGGGTTCTTCTTCCTAGCAAGAGCCCCTTGTTGCTAGAGACATTCTTCTACTTCGAAAATAATTGGGCTGTGCACCATCCTTGTTCATGTCTGTGACTTTTGTGTAGTTCTCAGTGGTTGACTCAAAGTTGACTCTGGTTTCTAAATCTAGGTGCATACCCAAGTCCTTTGTGGTTTTAAAATTTCTAGTTGTTTTCTTCATAGACCAGTTGGCAACAGCATTAATTTTATATCCTGGGAAGGCCAAGCTCTAAGCTAGTAGAAAAGGCCTTCTTGGTTCTTGGTTAGCTTTTTGTCATCAAGAATCAGTGTCACGGCCTTCCAGTATTATTTGCATGATCGGTGCAGTTAATGGGGGTAGATTTGTCTTTCAGTTTACTTTACATCTCTTCCTTGGTTTTTGAAGAAAGGATTAGATATCTCTGCTCTAAACTTCTAAGAAATTTAAATTCATTCACCTGATTCACTCATATCATATTCACTCATAAATCTTTTATTTTGTACCATTTTTAAAGCCTTACTTTAGACTATATACAGAACTGTATGGTGAAGGTAATCTGATTGAATCAATGTTCTAATCATGCAAATCATATTTCAGGTACTTGGCAAAGTCTAATTAATAAAGCTTATGTTATTTCTAAAGCTGATTGTACTCTTAAACCATTTTTGAAAATGAATTCTAGAATTAAGTCTTTGCTGAAATTTGAATGGCTGTGAGCTATTTAGTTTTTGTTTGTTTTTTTTTTAAGCTTTCCTGAGTGCACACATTTATTCATTTTTGGGTGGTGTTTATTGGAGGCTGGGAGTATAGTGACATTGCCTTATTGTGCAGTTACTCTATTCTTTGACTTTTCTAGACTAATTGGGTTAAAATAAGGTTGTCACCAAATAATGCTTCCTTTCCCTTTTTTCCTGTTTACATTCTTCCTTTTTTAATGATAGTCATATTCTTTTTCTTGATTTGTCCCTTTTGTGGTATAGATTGATGTTGCAAGATGAGTTTGGTGGGCCAAATAAAGCTTTGAATCCTTAATGAGTGTCTTTATCAGCTGGTTTGAAAACTGTCTTTTGGTTGAAAGAATAGTTCTGAGAAAGAGATTTTTGTCTAGTTACAAACTTGAAGTTGTGATTTATTTTGCTTCTGGCTGAAGATCTGTGTTAATTTGATTGCATCAGCCCTGTGATTTATTTTTTATTTCTGAAACTTTTGAGAATTGCCTAGTTTAATGTATTTACTTATGTATGTATAATTGCTGTTTAACCTGTTTTCATAAAATATTGTAGGTAGCATTTTTTTAACACAGTCTTAACTAGTTCAGATACTATGATGAACTTATTGATTAGAGTTAAAGTCACCAGAAAGGGGAAAAAACATTAACTGGAAAATAATTTTATAATTTGTCACAATTAGATTGATAGGAATATCACTATTTTCCTCAAATCTTTCATTTATGTATACTTAGAAAAATTATGTTCCTAAGCCTAAAGTTAAGTATATAATTTAAAAAGCTAAAAATTTCTTCTTTGGAAATCTTTAATATGAAAATATTGTAGTACCTCACTATAACTCAATACACATATTTGTGCTTATCTTACAACACAGTAGACAAACCACTGTTAGATATTACTTTTATTATTGTATTAGTTGGGACTTGGGGGAAGCCTCACAGTGAGAGTTGGACAAAAAGATGAGGAAAAACTTAACCTAAGAGAAGTTCAGTTCAGTCACTCAGTCATGTCCGACTCTTTGCGACCCCATGGACTGCAGCATGCCAGGCTTACTTGTCCATCACAAACCCCCTGAGTTTGCTCAAACTCATGTCCATTGAGTTGATGCCATCCAACCATCTCATCCTGTGTTGACCCTTCTCTTCCCACCTTCAATCTTTCCCAGCATCAGGTTCTTTTCCAATGAGTCAGTTCTTCATATCAGGTGGCCAAAGTATTGGAGCTTCTGCTTCAGCATCAGTCCTTCCAGTGAATATTCAGGATTGATTTCCTTTAGGACTGACTGGTTGGATCTCACTGTAGTCCGAGGGATTCTCAAGAGTCTTCTCCAACACCACAGTTCAAAAGCATCAGTTCTTCGGCGCCCAGCTTTCTTTATTGTCCGGCTCTCACATCCATACATGACTACTGGAAAAACCATAGGTTTGACTAGATGGACCTTTGTTGGCAAAGTAAGAGAAGTTAGGGGACATTGAAGTTCTTTTATTTCAGATACAAGTCATGTTTAGCTACTTTGAGTTATACACGCAGCCCCTAGCACAGTACTATCCACATGTGAATTATATAAAGGCAATCTGGTTTTAGCATTGTTTCCAAGAGATTTTAATTGCAAAATTAGAAACTTTTTATTATATTTTTATGGTCTTTTGAAATTTGAGCAAGAATTAACCACAGAATCTCAGGAAATCAATATTCTAGCTATGTTTCTTTTCCTTCTAATCTTCCTATTGGTTTCCAGTAGAATTTGGCATTGAAAACTAAGGTTGATCTGTTTTGTACCTATGTTTAAGATATAAATCATCATAGTATACTTGGTGCATTTTGTTAGATTAGCAAACCCACTGTTTTTACTGAAGCACGTGTAAACATTTAAACATAATTTTAAGGATTCAGTGAAAGTGACTATTCCAAAAACACAGACTTTTAATTAAGTACATATTTCTTTAGATTGGTTCCTATATAACTAGGAACTTAACCTTCTTTTCAGTAAACTATTAAAAGAAGGGCTTGCAGTTCAACATAAAATGTATTAGTCACTTGATATTGTACATTGAAAAATTATTTTAAAAAGATACTTAGGGTTGGGGGCATTTATGGTAAAATTGAACCAGAAGATGGCAGTGATGATCCTCTTATACTCCCTGAAATGGTAATCAAAAAGTTTACAAGTATAATAGCATGAAATACTCATGTTCAACTTTTGGTATCTAATGTTAAAAGTAACAAGTTAGGGGAGAGCATTTGCTGTTTGTTTTATATACTATGAAAAATGTGTATTTTTCTATAAGAAGGGATTAAGAATATTTTGGGTGTCTGTATCTTTGTCTGTACACTTCAGTTTTTTCTGAATACTGGGGTAAGGAAGTTACCGTTAAGCCTTGCCTTGTTTAAGTTGCATGCATCACTTTATGTTATGCATCATGTCTAGAAGGCATGTTGTTTTATGGCCTGTTTGCATTTTTCACCCAAATTGCTGGAAACTAATGAACTTTTAAAGGAGTCATTCCTTTACCAGTAGTCATTTCTCTAAATTGGCTCTTTTATTTATTTTTTTTTGGAGGGGAAAATTATATCATTTAAGACATTCATTTTTTTTTGAAAGAAAAGATTGACAAAAAATAAATGATCTGGTGATCTTAAAAGCAAAAAGTTAGAAAGGGGAGAAGGAATGCTTTCCTTTGAAAATTAGTACCCACATTTGGTGTTGGCCGAGATGAAAATGCATCCTTTCATAATCTTGCCTTTTTTTTTTTAATATAAAGCCCAAATGCATTTTGCCAGAGAAATTGCATGAATCGTCAGCATGCGTTGTTAACTTTGTCTTTCTCCTCTTCTTTTACTGTTCATTTTCATTCATGTACTTTTGTTTTTTGGTTTGCCATTATTTTTTCTTTTTTGTTAATTACTTCATATTAAATTACTTTTGAAACGTCATAAGCTGAGCAACCTCTCCGTGTAGTAACAGCGGATACCTGTCTATTTCACTATTTAGTCCCTCCTCCTATGTCTCCATCCTCCAAATCTGTGAGCACACCAAGCGAAGCTGGGAGCCAGGACTCTGGAGATGGCGCGGTGGGATCTAGGTACAGTAATCTTCTTTCAATATTTTAATGATAGAATGCATTTACTACCCAGTTACTGTCAGTGGTATAGAGCAACTCTAAATAGTTATGTTGAGTTAGTCGTAACATTTTAAAATCTAAATGACACAGAAATTGTTTATTGTAAATTGGGGGGAATTTTTTAAAAACATTATTTTACTGTCACACTTGATTAATTTAGCTACTGACTAGTTAACTGATTTATGCTGATTTTCTTATATTAAAAATAGAAGTGTTAATTCATTAAATTATTTTTTCTATTTAAGCAGCAGTGTATTGGTTATTATGTGAGTGTTTTGGGTATAAATAGTGTAAACTCTCTTATGCTTAGTTTCCATCTGGTAATTGAAATAAACCATTCAGTTAAACAGCCTAATTCTATTAAGTTATTCTAATTAGGTAGAGAATAATAACGCATAAAATATCAAGAATAAGGAATAATTGCTAAGGAAGCATTGAGTGTTTACTGGCTTCAATAAAAATTTTAAAAAGTATTTACTGGCTTGAGGGCATTATGCTAAGTGAAAGAAATCAAAGGGAAAAACAAATATTGTATGATCTCACTTATAAGTGAAATTTAAAAAATGAAACTAGCTCATTGATACAGAGAAAAGATTGATTCATTTTTATTTTCATTTTAAAAATTTTTGATGTTTGCCAGAGGTGGGGGAGGTAAGGGGTGGGCAAAATAGGTGAAGGGGGTCAAAAAGTACAAACTTCCAGTTATAAGTCATGGAGATATAAATGTCCAGCATGGAGACTGTAGTTAAGTTTAACTACATATATATATATATATGAACACCTTATGGTGGTTTAGTTGCTAAATCATGTCTGACTCTTGTGACCCCATGGGCTGTAGGCTGCCAGGCTCCTCTGTCCATAGGATTTTCCAGGCAAGAATACTGCAGTGGGTAGCCATTTCCTTCTCCAGTAGTTGACAATAATATGTTGTATATTTGAAAATTGCTGAGAGATTGGGTCTTAAAGAGAAAGAGAAAATCATAAGAAAAAATTTTGTAACTATGTAAGATGGATGTTAACTAGACTTATTATGGTGATCATTTCACCATATGTACAAATATCAAATCATTATGTTATATACTTGAAACTGATATTATATACCAGTTTTACCTCAATTAAAAAAAAAAAGTTCACTGCCAAGTTTTCCTGAACTTGCATCTTCCTTGTAAAACAGTATCTCACATTTGTTTTATCATCCTGCATACATGTTGGGACTTGATTTTCAAACATTCAGTAAGATTTCAACTTCTTTCCAAATACCATACTGAGAAAAGTATTACTTCTCTGCCACACTCTGAATAATACCAAATCTTTATTTAACAACATCTTACATTTTGATTTCTTTTGGCAACTGAAATGAGACTAAACATAGCCAGTTAAAAAGCTTTATTCAGAATCCTTATTTGGGGCTAGGAAGTTACATGTCTTCCTCAGGAAAACCTAAACACACCTTTTAATGAGAAGTAAGCTAAGAAGTTTTATCTTCGTGCCCAGGCACCTCGATTGAAGTTGCAAACAAGTAATGAGTATCTAAAAGACAAGACAAAAAAAGAAGAAAAGGGACTAATTAATCCATAAACTCAGTCCTTTAATCACTTTCTGAATAATCAAGTTGTCATTAACAATTAGAAGACACAAAAGGCTTACCAGTCTGAGTTTGAGATTTGCTTTCCAAACCTGTTCTGTTTATAGAACTGAAACTGCAGATTTAAGCAATAATCTTTTTGGACGTTAAGTGACATGATAAAAGAATATATTATAGATTAAAGGCTGAATTTATTTAACCTAAGTTCATTTTTAAAGGCTAAATTTGTTTCATGCTTTTGTACTTCTGTATTTCTATACAAATACGTTAGTATTCCTTTCCTAGTAAACAAGTGGCATTTTCAGAAGGGTTTTATTTTCCCCTTGTAATACATTACCAAAGTAAAAATATTTCCCAAGGTAAAAAACACACAAAAAAATTTATTAAATTTCTTTACTTGATGTTATATATTATTTTAATGCCTGTACTGTATTGTGTTAATTCATTGTTCTTGATTTTGAACAGGAATAGAAAGATTACTCTAATGCAGCATCAGCTAGTTTGCTTTCAAAAATACTATGTAACATGTATGCAAATTAAAATATGACCACCTGAGTTTCATTGGAAAACCTAAAGACTATTAGAGAGATCCAATTGGAATATTGTAAATTGGTATAGGAAGTAAATAACTGTTAAGAAATATGTTTATTTTGTTAGAATACATATTATTTGAATTGCCAATTTAATGTTAAGTGCTATAGGCTATCACAGAAAATAACATTCTTGGTCCTTGCCTTCATGGAACTTGCATTCTAATGCTCATTAATTTACATAACTTAAATATAGTATTCACTGTATTGAAAAATCCTAAGAATAATATGCTAAATTGTGTTTAAAGTGTAGATTTGTAGATGTAAAACAAGAAAATGAGTATTTAAGTATCTTTAGGGGTATGTATTTTTATTTTTTATATTATGAAAATATGATAACATTTACAGGAGACTTGGAAAATACAGAACAAAGTTACATATAGTTCCACTATATTGCAATTTTTTAAAATACATAAGTATTTTTAGTTGGAGTTTCAATATCAAACTCTCAAAAATTAGTAGAATGAACAGACAGAAAAGTAGAAGGATATAGTAGACCTGAAAAGCACTATGAACCAATTCAGCATAATTAAAATCTATACAATTTTCACACAACAGCAGGATACAAATTCTATTCAAGTTCCTATAGACCTGGAGACACTGAAACATATCCAGGGACATAAAACAAGATGCAAAAATTTCATGGTCTAAAGGTATTGAAATCATACCTGTGCTCTCAAGTCTGTTATCACTGTGAAATTATGTTAGAAATCATGATCAAAAGATATTTTAAAACAATCCACATATTTTCAAATGCAATGTGACAATTACCAAGAGAGATCTTTGACTTAGCTATTGAAAGCCTTAGTAAAGTTAAAAGACTGAAAAATCACACAGGGTGGTTGCAGAGAAGAAAGCATTTGAGAAATTAATATCAAAATGAGAAATTAACATCAAAGATACTTTTAAAAAAGGGTATTTATTTTTTTATTAGAGAATGAGTACAAGATAATGGGAGAGAAATTCTCTTTTTGAATGAGATGACTTGATATCTTTTTAGCCTTAATATATATGTCATCTCCTTTGAGAATCCAAACTAATTTTTTAATTGTTAATTTTCAAGAGGACTAAATATGTTCACTTTTTAACATATATGTACACACAGCAAGAAAACTGTGAATTCCTTTAAATCACCTCCAGATTCCATAATAGAGAAATAATTAATATTGTTGATTAATTGATGATATTGGCAGTGAAGTAATCGCGTTTTAAAATATGTGACTTTTTAAAAGAATGCTGGAGTCTGAGAAAGAAAAAGAATGGATATAAATTGAGCTGGCATGATGATAATGAAAAAATAAACAGCAAAATGCATGAAGATGTGTGATGTATAAACCTATACACTCAACTCCTTTAGCTGGCCAAGACAGTCGATGGATTACTGCACTTGGGGAATAGGAAAAAAACATATTAGACATTTCCAAGTATGATATCAAAACATCTGAATCACAGTTTCTCAATGCCAAAAGTTTCTGTTCGGCCTGGTGGTAATTTATGAATAAATACATAGGAGGCCATGAAAAGTATTTCTGTAACTTTGCTGACTGGCAAGTTGCATATCATTAAGATTCTAGTTCACTTTCTCAATCACTTCTGTTAACTCTAAGATTTAGATAACAGTTATTCAGTGAGTAATCCATGCTCCTTTTTTTACATTCTTTATCAGTTTATCTCTTGGGACTTTTGATTATATGGGTCAGGATTATATTAAAATTTTAATTTATATGTCTGGAGATGCCTTTAATATAATCCCATACTTTGTGCAATATATTTTCAGTACTGCCTCTGTCCTGAGGTAGAGTTTTACTCTATTTTAGACCAAAATGACATCCTTAACAAGGAGCTCTATGTCATTGGTAACAACTCGGACTCTTAGAGAATGTAAAGGGTATGTACAGAACATTCCTTGGAGAGCATCTCATAGAACCTCTTCTGGTTTAACAAAGCCTGAGTTTGTTGCTATTCATTGCTTAGTATAATGTAAATCTTCACTCTGGCCCCTTCTTTGTTTGTGTACACACGTTACCATTTAAATCCCAACATCTTTCTTTATATTTTTTAAATGAAGCATTTCTCTAGTTCATTTGATTGCTTTTACTGTTAAGTTGCACAGGCAAGTAAAGATTTCATTTCTTATGTTTAAATATTATAGTAGTTTTAGTTGTACATTATAATTTGTTGCATAAATGAGAAACATATATTTGACAAAGATGGTAGCACTGAATGTATTGTGCTTAACTTTTTAATAGGGATTCTGAGCATCATATGGTACTATACATACTTAATCTTACATATTGCTAATCTATAGGAGTACCAGTGTGATAAAGGACCTTTTATTCTAGTAATGACTAAATTTTCCTTAAATCTTTTGGAAAAGATCCCGTGGAAGTTGTTTCCCCAATAGGCAAGGCTAAACACAACCAAATACTTATTTAGGATTGATATTCTCCAAAAGTTTAGTTTAGATAAATTCTTTGAACGTAAAATATTTTTCCTGGCAAAAAAAAAAGTCTGCTTTTTCCTAGAGACAGAAATCTTTAGTTGCTTCCTAAAGCAGATGACATGTAAGCCCAAGGCAGTGCTTAACCCATAAATTACATAAGGGTCACATTTTGGAAACTTAAGCTATTTTGTATCCCAGTGGAATAGTCTTTGGTTTTCTTACCAAAAGGCTTATGTGTTGACTCATTTCCTTTACCAATATGACAATTTCCTGCACACATTTAATGCTTTGGGCAAGATTATGATATGTTAACTGAGATGTTTTTACTAATGCTTTTTTCATTAGGAAACTTCAGATTTCAACTACATGTATAGCCTAGTTTGTTATCATCCAAAAACGTGTTATTTGGGATGTTGGCTGTTTTGTCTGTTCTTATCCATTGTTTTGCAAGAATAGTTTCTTATAATCTGAAAATACTGTCTTTTTAACTATTCTAGGTTGTATGTTTGCATTGCATGCACTAGAGCATTTGAGTGATATCTCGTGTTTTTTTGTACTAACCAGAACATGTGGTTTTTAATTGTGAACAGTACTTTAGCTATTCATAGAATGTATTTGCTTGACTAACTTATGGCCTTTTTTGCTAATGCTTCATGGTTGTCCTACAACCATTTAGGACGCTGCATTGGGATACAGATCCATCAGTTCTTCAGCTTCACTCAGATTCCGATTTGGGGTATTGAATAGATTTATTACCTTCCCTCTTTTATAATTAATTTGATTCTCTGTGAAATTGTCCTAGTTTTATTTTTCTTAAATTTCTAACATACAGATAATACAAAGAGTGATATTTCACTGTGACACCTCATTTGTCCTCTGTCATTAGTGAAAAAAATATTTTATGTATCTGATTTTATAGGTACCCTAAGTCTTATGAATTTAAATGTCTAAATTACTTTTATTATTGCTATATTTTTGATGTAAGCTTTTCTACAGTGTATTACAAACTTTCTAAACTTTTAAAAATACATACTTTACATGCAATTGAATCTTTTCTAGGTTACTCAACATGAAAATTTATTTTCCTATATTAAAATTTCCTGATGATATTTAAGGTTTTGAGAGGAACAGAGCTGTCGGTTTCTACACTGTGGCTCCAGATTGCTATTGATTTATTCATTTACTTATTTATTCTAGTCTCCAATGCAAACTATAAATGTTTACTTCTGCCACTGTGTCTGACTCAGATAGCTCTTTTCCCTTGATAGTTTGCAGCTTCTAAAACATATGTCCCCAATACCTTTAGAAATTAGGTCTAAAGTAAGAATAAATAAGCCTTACGTGCATGCTAAATTGCTTCAGTCGTGTCCAGTTCTTTGTGACTGTTTGTACTGTAGCATGCAAGGATCCCTGTCTGTGGGATTCTCTAGGCAGTGCTGGAATGGGCTGCCATGCCGTCCTCCAAGGGGATCTTCCCGACCCTAGGGATCGAACCCACATCTCTTATGTCTCAGGGCTCAAACTCACATCTCTTATGTATCTTGCATTGGCAGTTGGGTTCTTTACCACTGGTGCTACCTGGGAAGCCCTTAAATAAACCTTGAATAAGGCCGTGTAACAAAAGTATATGGGCTTCTTGTACATTAGCTGGAAGTCCTCTCTGTTGGCTACCCTGAGGCTCCCCCACCCCCAACTGCTTGCTTGTTCTCAGTAAAAGTGGCTTTGGATAAGTAAAGTATTATCTCCCCAAATCTGTCCCTAAATCTTACTTTGTTTCTTGTAGTATTGTGATTTTTATCTATTAAACTCTATATGTACTCAAGTTAGTAACTTGTTCTTAATGTTGTTGACCCAAGCACTTTTTTTCAGATATGAAAAATATCTGAAATTATATTTCAGATATGAGTAATTTATTTTTTCATATGGTTTACATCTTGAAAATTAGAATATAAAATTTATTTCAGATTTTGTTCTTAGAATGCTAAGTTACTTCAAATCTTCCTAAATTTTTCCATTTAATTCTTTGATTATGCTTTTTTTCTCTAAAATATTTCCAAGGTAGAAAACACATGAAAAATTTCTTGTGGCCCACATTTGGGACCTCAGAGAAAATTAACTCTTTAAATGTACTAATTTTATTAAACTTTTTTGTACAGGATTTTGAAAAGGACGTTTATATAAGAAAAAAGTTATATTACCAAATATATATACATATATATATTTCAAATATCCAGCTTTATATTCTTGTAAGACAGATTCATTATTGAGAATTTGGGAGTTTGGAAGCATGCTATATTTGGTTTAGAATTTAGACATCTACTATAATAAGAAAAAATTCCCCCAGATACAGAATAAAATATATTTTTCTTTTGGTACATTTTCATTATCCACAACTCTCTTCTGTTTGTCAAAAAATAGTGTATTTCACTTATTTAAAATAGGAGTGACTTTAGTAATTGCATGATATTCAGAAGATATGTAGCTTTATAAAATAATCTGCACAATAGTTTGTCCATGTCTGAATCAAGGACAATATTGATCACACAGAGATTAGAGACTTTTAAGTTTAAATATTTTATTTTATAATCTAGATTAACTGTATACTTCTCAATTTCTGCAAAATATAAGTAGAAAAAGTTGTTTTCAACAGAAAGTTATTTCTCACTCTTAAAGCCGATGTCTTCTAATGGTGAAGGGAGACTAAATGTGGTATGAGTGAAATCCATATATTTAACTCTTAACAAAAAATTCCAGAATCATATCCCTGCTAAAAACAGTTCTCATAACCAACCATATTCAGCAGTCTACTTTGAAATAACCATCTTTTTACTGTTATTGCCCACACATTTGTTCTAAGAAACTAAATTATTTGCCTTTTTAAAGTGAAAAATAAACACCTTGAATGATTCAGAAATCTCTTTTGTTCTTGCTACCTTCTAATTCTTTTGTTAAAATAAAGCCAATTAATTGTTCATTTAAATTTTCTTGAATAAAACAGGGGTTTAAATTACACTGTTGGAAAAAAAAATTACACTGTTGGGTATACTATATTTAATTCTTACTTTTCCCAAAAAACATGGTTTGATGTAGTTCAAGTGTATCATTTGTAGTGTTTGAAAGTATTTGTGTTCACTTTATTCAGACGAGGACCTATTAAACTTGGAATGGCTAAAATTACACAAGTTGACTTTCCTCCTCGTGAAATTGTAACATACACAAAGGAAACTCAGACTCCAGTTATGGCTCAACCCAAAGAAGGTGAGTATCTGTCCTTAAATATGATTGTCATTAATCCCCATGTTAAATAAGGAGATTCTTTTTTTTTTTCTTTGTTGTTTGGCATATTTTCTTAGGGGAACATTATAAAAATAATACTTTGAGTTTCTATATTTATGTATTTGCTCTTTAGAGTTTTAAAACTTTTTCTTGTAGTATTTAATAGAAGTATAAGCTATATGTATGTTTTTAATTTTGTTGGCATAAATACAAGTATTTCCATTCTCATTTTGTTGTTACTGTGTGCTGCTTTAGGAGCAAAAAATAAATTTAAGAATGTTCTATTTCTGTATCATGAACGTAATTCTTCCCAGAATGAGAGTATATCCAATAGTAAATGAAATAATGTAAATTATTTTCTTTGGTGCATACTATATTCTGATATACTGCCAATTATCTGTATTAATGAACAAATCTAGACCTAATTCATAAACTTCCTATTTTATGATATAAGGGCTCTACTATGTTGATTATATAGCAGCCTGTCATCTCTGTGAAACAGAAGGAGTATACATAGACATTATTTTGAATGTGGAGTCCTTTGTGTCTTAAATCAGAAGGAGCTGACCATTTTTACAGTGGGGACTAATTTTAAAAATCTCATTGAATAGCTAATGATTTAAGCATAAACTTAATGTGATCTTGTTTTTCCAAGGGAAGCTAATAAATTTATGTTAGATATAAAAGAAGTTTACTTAAGATCCCTAATACAGATTCACAATTTCTTATCTGAAAGCTATGGAGGTGTATATATATAGGGATTCAGAATTTTTTACATTTCAAAGAAGTAATTAAGTACTATATGTGCCATATGTAAATACTCCAACAGCATCTTGGGCATAAATATTCAACAGCAAAAGATACAAATATTCAAACTGAGTGAGATAAATAATGATTATAAATACCTTTACTTCTGGTCATATTAGGGTTTACCACCGAAAGAGTTACAGATTTTAGAGTACTCTTTATAGATTTTTTAAACTTAATAGTAGATCATCACATGCACTTTTAACAACTCTCCTTTCCTTGCCCCCTAAGGATGGACATGACATAAATATCATGAACTTTTCCTTTGATTTTCTTCATGTTCCCAAAAGAACTTGACATTATTGTATGTACAATTAAACTCAAAAATTTTGAGGAAATTGGAATAAGTTTTTGTCCAATAGTTTTTTTATAACTTAACCATGTGAATATTCATTTCTATGGATACATTTTTTTCATTCCTGCTGCTCCATGGATTGGTAAAATAGCTTTCACATGTGCAAAATCCCTCATCTTACCAGAAAAAAAGTCCTTGATGATAGATTTGTTTGAGACATAAGCCACTTTAAAAAAAGAAAAGAGGAAAGATAAAAGTGCTGAACTACCAGTATGGAGAAAACTAGTACTGTAGGATTCTATAATTTCCAGAAAATATTATTTTACTAACTAATATGTTCAAGTATTGAAATGTCTGTCTTTCGGGAGCTGCATTATTAGATACATTAAATGAGAAATGCTAGATATGTTAAATAGAAAGTAAGCAAAATAGCCAAAATGAGGGTACAGTATCTCATTTAAAAAATAAATTAGGCTTTTTTCCTTCTAATAATAATATGAAGATTTAGTTTTATTTATGAAATGCATTGTAGATTGTTTTAGAATGTAAAGCAATTCTGAAGCAATTTTAGGTAATGCCTGTTGTAATACATCTATAATTATATATATTGTTTAAATGAAGGCTTCCATTTTTTAAAATAATTTTTTCTAATTACTGTAGTATATCATAGAGAATTTAGAGAAGACAGAAAGGATAGGAAATATGCCTGTGATACCACTGTGTAGTAGCCATTGTTAATATTTTGTTTCCAGTCTGTTTTCTACAGTATGTTTTTTCAAAAATTATATATGTATACATATACAAGCACACATATGGTTTTATATCCTACCTGAAATTTTCATTTTTAGTTCCTTATTCTTGACATGCATATAAATTTTAAAGTGAACATGTAATAATGTCTTTGAGCTAATTTGAATGTATAGCTACATAGTATATGCCTGGCAGTTTTGTTAAAAATGCTTTTTTTCCATTTTTATTTTGAAATTAATGGGAAAATTTAAAAGACTGTGATTTGTAAAGTAAGCTGACTACCCAGAAGTTCAAGATAAACTGTGTTTATTCACTTGGAAATTAGTTGCATGAGTGCTAAGTCACTTTGGTCGTGTCCAGCTCTTTGTGACTACATGGATTGTAGCCCACCAGGCTCTTCTGTCCATGGAATTCTCCAGGCAAGCACACTGGAGTGGGTTGCCATGCCTTCCTCCAGGGGATCTTCCTGATCCAGGGGCTGAACCTGTGTTTCTTATGCCTCCTGCATTGCAGACAGGTTCTTCTATTTAGGGCAAGGCTTTTAGCATCATCGTACTTCAGCTTTTTTGCCAAATTTTCCAGAACACAATAGGGACTGTTTCTTCTTCATTGCTATAATGCCTGGTCTGGAGAGTGCATGATGTGTAGTGAGTACAAATTCAGTAAATATTTGGTGAAGGAATTAATTGCTTTTGCCTACTTAGGAGAATGATTTACTTACTTGAGATTTTTTTTTTCCCATGCCTTTTCTTGGGAAGTAACTGCTGGGAAAATACTATTTTCTAGTGTTAATACTATAGTAACAACATTGATGAAATTGGGTGAGAAAGTATAGTCTCAGTTCTTGATTTTAATATGACTATATCATGTTGTAATCATTATTTGCTCTTAGATCCATAAATGAAACATACATCCTCCCTTACAGCCTTCTGTAATTCCATGATGACCTAGATACGAACATATGCTGTTACTCTCTGTTCAGTGTATCCCTGTGAATGCTGTGAGCAAAATTGGACCTGTTAGCATCTCTCAAATATATTATCTAGCTACTTGTTTGTTACAGTTCTTCAAACCTCATATTTAAATTGGTGACTGAAAATTGTAACAGCAGAGTGCTTACTACATATCAGATATAGTATAAGGCACTTTATGTTATCTCTGATCCTCTTACCAAAACCTTGAGAGTTAAATACCAATTCTGTTTACATACGAAGAAGCTGAAACTGAAAGAGAGCTTATTAAGGGTAAGATTCTAAACCAAATTTGGCTGATTCCAATATATGCTTTCTCTCCTACGCTGTCACTGAAGCAACACTTTCATTCTTTTATGGTAGTTACCTGTGGTAAGAAATTCAATTTATATTAATTACAGTCTAGTACAAATGTAGATACATATGTGTACAGGTATCCTTTGAATTTCAAAAGTTCACGTATGCTTCTTGGGGAGTGTGACAAACCCAAGCTCCTTCCCTGGAAACTACACTCAGCATCTCAGCAGAAAGCTGCCATAGCTTTATAGCTTTAAACTGTCTCTGAGCATCTGCTGTATTTATTCTGTGCACCTGTTAAGATGTGTCCTAAAGTAGTCGCTTCTTCATTTTACATCATTTAGCTTAAAGTTTTCAAGGATTGCTCTACTTTTGGATAGTGGGGGGTAGTCTTGTAACTGATACCAAAGTTTTTTGAAATAATGCCTTCTTTTCGGCGGTGGTTCCATGGTGTAATGGTGAGCACTCCAGGCTCTGAAATAATGCCTTCTGTGCTTTTACTGTATTTCATTTTTTTCATTGTTGGCCATAACTAAATTTTTGGCTTTGACCTCTAGTTTGAAGAACGTTTCATTAAAAGATAGCATGGCTTACTTATTTATTGGTAAATTTGCATCAGATAATATTCTATAGTGATTGACTCAGAGTAATGAATAAACAGCTTTGATCTTTCATGTTGTTAAATAGAATTTTTCTTATCTTCACTAATAGAGGATAAAAGTGGCAAGATACATAAACTGAGCCCAGTTTCTAATGGGTACACCTATGTACCACTCTCTTTAAAATTTTCCTCTGTGGACTGGACTTAGTTTTATAAAGATCCACATTTATTCATTTGCAACCTAACAAGAATTCAGTGATTCTACTAGTGTATTGAGTGTATGCTATCTACCTGATTATTTTTTTTAGTGTAAGGTTGAGGTATATAGGCCTCGTTGTAGCTCAGATGAAAAAGAATCTGCCTGCCATGCAGGAGACCCAGGTTTGATCCCTGGGTTGGGAAGATCTTCTGGAAAAGAAAATGGCAACCCACTGTGGTATTCTTGCCTGGAGAATCGCATGGACAGAAGAGCCAGGCAGGCTACTGTCACGACTAACACTGCACTACTGCTGAGGTATATAAGTGAAGGAGAGTGAGACGCATACTGTAATACCATGGGGCTTAGCCCTTAGCCTTTAGAACTATTTATAAAAATGAGATTTCTTGTCTGTATCATTACAGTTATTTTCATGTCCAGGACCCTTACATTGTTTCATTTCCCAATTTATGGAAGTTTTAGAAAGAGGGGTAGAAAAACCCTACACTTAAAGTTTTATAATGAGAACACTTTGTGCTTAACTCTACCTCTGCTTTTCCATTGGTTTAATACAGAGCTTCTCAGACTTAGCCTCCTTGGCTTGCATTTAAGAATATGTAATAAATTCCAAAACTCACCATGAGACAAAATTGTGAAATTCACAGTTTGAGTGTAAAAGACAGTAAATTGAACTTGGGTAGGCACTGTAATTAGTACAGAAGTAATGCTAGTTATCAAATTGAAGATAAAAATTGGTCTTAGACTTAACTCCCTTTTTCATTTTTTAAAAAATGGCTGAATCTATTCTTTTGAAAAGCACATGTTCTTGCTTTCAAGTTTACTCTGTAAGTTGATAGTACCATTTCTGAACTGAGGTGCTTTGCTGTCTTAAAGCACCTACTGTGAATGAAATTGCCTAGGAACATGTGACCTTAGTCAATTTCGCTCCCGGCAGGTAAAAAAAACTTCTCATGGCAGGAGTGTAATACCCACAGACACACGCCTGGAAAAGTTACTTTCTTCCCTTATATTTTAGAAGTTTTTAACTTTCTTGAAAATGGCATT